GACAGCATGCCTGATAAACCCCTAACGCTCCTCTTCCTCTGTTCCAACCCAGTCGGATTGGAAGTATTCTTGGTCTTCCCGTTAGTTGAGCTTGATGACAATAGTTGTAGTAAACGACAACCTGGTCTTGGCAGGGCTAAAAAGAGCAGCTACAACAACAACAATAACCGTGATATCATTAACGAATTTACTACAATTTCCAAAGCCAATCAAATTCCGATCCTTGCTTTGGTGATCAGCTTTATTAAAATGGCATTGACGAAATTAACCTTCAGGAATCACCAATAAGGTTACTTCTTTAAATATTCTATGAACAGTCGAGCTTGAAGCCTCACTGAAAAATTATTACTATAAACATTGTATGGTGATTTTTTTTTTAACAACTCAATTTTATTTAGTTTCTTTGCTTCATTGTTCCTCGTCCAAGAATCCCAGCATCATAGTGAATATACCATAAATGGACTTTGTAATCTGAAATGTAAAATAAAATTGTTAAAAAGTAGTAATCGCCATTTAAAAAATACATATTAATAATTGCTTTCTCCATTACCGAGAGTGCAGTTTGTACCGAAAGTGGTAGAACTCCGCCAATTTTAATTTCACTGGGATTTTGTGACTTCTTCAAAACAAATACCAGCATTTTCTGATGTTTCACCTGCAAATCATACCAATTTATGTTGTACAGTTCCTCACAAAATGCATGGTTCTAGGGAGAAATAAATACAGTTTTTAAATATATGAATGTCTGCACACTAGGCCGGTTCTGTTCGCAAACTCACACAAGTTTCGATTTTTGTGCCAATAATACAGTATAGATAAAGCCCACAAAATGCTACCAAAATGTACAAGTATGCACCAGGCCAATCACCCATTAGCACAATATACATGGTGCAAATAATTGAGATGCCCGATGTAACGATTTGCATAGTTATTATATAGTAGAATATACCGTTGCAACGCTCATTGTAACTAAAAAAAAAAATGTAAGAAGAAAAAAAAAATCGCTAAACCACACCCAAGTTTGCTGAAATTGCAAAACAACAGCCTTACTCTGTGTAGTATTGATGCCACTCAATTATATCGATCAATAGCCTTTCAGTGGTTTTGCAATTTTTGGCAGAAGCCTCATTTAGGGCGTTCACTTTCAACACTAAAATGTCGCGAAACAATTCTGGCTGCCCCAAGTAGATCAGAAAGAATAAATCGCCAGCAAATAGTCCAAAAGCGCCAGCTAGAAAAACCACTGTATGCACCGCCATTGTAGCCAAATAACCAAATTGCGTCTCAACATCCAATCCTGGGATGAAGAAGTGCATTACATAGACTTGCCGTTCGGTAGCGACAACCAGAATGATGGTCAAAGTTAGAATTCCAAATACGGTAGCAGCATAGAGATGTCCGACCATTTTTATAACTCGCCAAACACGCTCACAACACTCCTCCAAGGCCTTGCAATAGGCCTCGCCCTTCGTTTCGTGTTCCCGATAAAATGCTTCTAACTCCACGCGCACTCCTGAAAGTCCTTTGGTGTAGGCGATGCCCGAAATAAGTTTGGTGATGCCTTGCAATACGCTGCCGACCATACAAGATGCTTCCAGCAAGTATTTCCAGTTTTCCGAAAATACGCTAGCCACAGTGGTGGCGGTGAAGATGAAATAAATGCTGATGCACAGTATCACAATAACGGTAATAATGTTGACCCTATAATGTTCATCAGAGATATCAGCGCCGACCACACCGGAAACGAAGCGAGCCATTTTAATGATTTTCGCAAACGATTGCGACGGCCGCATTTTTTTAACGCTCATGGCTAGTCGACTTTAAATATAACAAAAAAAAGTTGAAACTTGCACCTCGATTGCACCTTGTGATTTATGTAATAGTATGCTCCTACATATATATTATAGTTATATCCTTGAACTGAGTTCGCTTGTCAAAACAAGTAATTTACTCGTCACGTGCAATAATTGCTACGCACTTAATAATCCCTAGCTGACAACGTGAGAATATTTTGCACATCAAATGTGGTATAAATTACATGTGTTAGTTTTAACACCGAGACTTCACTTAGTAGAAAATTTTCATGTATGATTCAATTAGTGTGATACCTAGTTTACAGCGGTATTAATTTGCTCCATAATGGGTATCGTAGCGATTGAAACACATACATATGAAATGTGAATACATATTGTAGGAAGACCTACTGTGATTATATATTTTTTGGAACCTAGTCTCAATATGCTGTAGACATATTTCAGGCATCTCGTTATGAGAAGAAACAGAGAGGACTAAAGATGCGGTGTAGAAAATATCATTTGGAGAAAAACTTGACTTGGCATTTGTTGGCACAGAAAATAAATGACTCACCGTGTTTTATTGAACTCGGCTAAAGTCGCTTGGGTGGCTCCAGCGCCGCTGGCAGACAGGAAAGCGGCTCGAAAATTCTATCAGAAAATAAGGCAGCAATGAAATAGTTTCAAGACCAGAGCTGGTTCCTATAGAGACGAAGATGGAAATTTTGTAACAGATGCCCAGAGTGCACGTGAGATATGGAGGGAAAACTTCTCAATGCTTTTGAATGTCGACATGGGCGGCACGTTTGATGATCCGCACCAATGTAAAGGATCGATTGTCACGCGTCTACACTCGACCTGTACGAGGTGAGAACAACCATAAGGTGGCTTAAAAACAACAAGGTCCCCGGAGCCAAAGGTATACCAGAGCTGGTGGCAGGCATGTATCAGCTGTTAAGCTGAATTTAGTCTTATGAATACATACATAGCAATAAGCTTTCTTAAAATTGTTGTCGACGATACTGTGTGAAATACTGAATCACCGCTTGAAAAAATTGCTTGGATTATATCAGTGTGGCTTCAGACCTGATAGATAGATAGATAAGGCACTGCGACCAGTAGGTCTATTGTGCCCTTAGCTCATCACCACACCACAGCTAACCCTTGAGACTAAATAAATGACAAAATACATTTGCGTATGTGACGAAAACTATAACTATATAGGGGAGCGAAGTTTATTATGGACCACATAAGGAAAATTTCTGTAGAAAAAAAAAATCTGAATTTTTGCTAATTTTTAGTGGATAACCCAGCCCATCAAATATAAAAAAAGAATTTGGTACGGCAAATGTTATAGCTTTTATTGATAGACTTTTTTGTGCTGATTGCGAATCCGTAAGCGAACACATCAGCTTTAGATTTTGAAAAAAATAAGGACAAAGTGTCAACAAATCACGTTTTTTACAATATTTTACAATAGTACCTTCCTGGTTTAAATTAAAGCTAGAACTCTCGACTACTATCTCTGAGAGTACCATTCCTGCAACTTGACTCGATGGTCACTTAGTCATATGTTATATACATTTATTTGTTTTTGTTTTATTTAAAAAAAAAAAAAAAAATAGGAAGAAGTTGAATCAAATTTTTGAACGTTTACTATAGGTTCAAAAAGGAGTGGTACACAAACTGTACATTGAATTCTTGTTCAAAAAGATGTCATTCTCATGATTTCAGAAAATTAAAAAAATCTACGTTTCAAAAACTTAATAATAAGCATTCAAAATCTAAAAAAAAAATACATTTTTAGAATAAAAACGTGTATTGTGCAAATATAGGACTTGACATAAAACGTACGTTTCATAAAACGTAAATTTCATAAAGTGCACGCAATCCTTTCATCGAAAGGGGTCAAAATCCAATGCATACTATAATATCTTTTCAAACTCTATATTTGACTGCCATTTTTTATATACATACATACATACTTATTTATTGGCTTCCCTTGACAGAGTTCATTTGTTTTTGAATCGCTATTTGTTAACCACCAAATGAAAATCTTCGAAAAGGACGGAAAGGATGGAAAAACTTGCACAAATTATACCGATACTTTAAATATTACTCACACTTTTTGGTTCCAAAATTTCAATTTACTCGCTGAAAATTAAATTCAAGAAAAGTCAATTTCAATTCATTTAAATTTTTCAATAACTTTGCTTCTAACTTAACTGTTAAACATTAAAAAACAAGCGTGCAGTACGTTACAAACGTATTCAAAGGTAATTTTCGAACATATTTTTAAATACATAAATATTAATTCGTTCCTCAAGTTTTCTTTTCTAAGAGAAAGAGAGAAAAACCAAAAGTACTAGAACGCTTTTCGGGTAAAAATTGGTAAAAATATCAAATACAGCGTGGATGCCATTTTTTGATTACATATATATATATTGAATACGGTGAAAATGCAGATGCGCTTTTTTTTTTGCTTATTCAACTTACAATTCGCTGATAGTTTGACCATTTACCAGTTTTTACCAGCAAAGATTCTTCAACTCAAATCAAATCTTGCAACTTCTGACAAGGAGAGGATCGATTTTACTTACCCATTTTCCCCATTCTTTGCCAGAGAACGGAGTACGGGAATGCTTTCTGGTAAATTCCTGTAAACTCTTGCAACTTCTTGCATTGGTAATCGATAGTTTCAACAAGTATATCGAATACTATCGATGGTCAGACTATCGATAGTTTTGCTGCTCTAGCCCCTCATAACTACACATACATATATATATATATATCTGGCATAATTCCTTACAAGCTTAATTAAATACGATAAGCAAACGATAGCGTTTACTGCATACACCGATGGGAATTTTGATATTGATTATAATAGATATTAACCAGAAGATGGTAAAATTCTAGAATGCAACTTGTACATTTATCAGTTACGATGACGATACAAATTTCGATAACAACATCGATAAAAAAATATAAAGTATCGATAAATATATCGTTGCTCATATAGAATACTAAAATAAACAAATCTTCAAAAAATGTCAATTAGGGTCTTTTGCATAGCTGACTATTACAGATTTAGCTGACTATTTAGATTTAGATAGTACATAGTATGCATTGCATATACATATGAACAAAAGTATGTATGTATGTATGTGCATATACCATTTATAATTTTGTTTTATATGGGCTTCCCCTTCACTGTTCTTCATCCAAAAAACCCAACATCATTGTAAATATTCCATAAATTGATTTAGTTATCTGCAAAAAAAGGCATAAGAAGATTTACATACTTGGCCAAGCAAACATTTGTTAAATATACTACATTCTTACCGAAAGTGCTGTTTGCACAGAGAGCGGCAGGACGCCACCAATTTTAATTTCACTAGGATTTTGTGACCTCATCAATATGAATATAATCATTTTCTGATTTTTCACTTCCAAATCGTACCAATTGATATTGTAAAGTTCCTCATAAAATGCATGATTCTAGGATAAATCGAAAAAATCGCAAACGTTTACTATTTAAGAACTAAAGTTGACTTAAAATTTGTACACAGCACTCTCCTTTTTTGCTTACACAAGTTTCGATTTTCGTGCCAATAATACAGTATAGATAAAGTCCACAAAATGCTACCAAAATGTACAGGTATGCACCAGGCCAATCTCCCAAAAGTAGAATATAAAGAGTACAAATAATTGAGATGCCCGATGTAACGATTTGCATAGTTATTATGTAGTAGAATACATAGTTACAACGCTCATTGTAGCTAAAAAAAAAATATACCAGTATTTTAGCGACAAAAGAAAAAAATTTTACGTTTCACACCAAATTGCAAAAAAAAAAAAAATGTGTGCTTACTCGGTATAGTATTGATGCCATTCAATAATATCGATTAATAGCTTTTCAGCCGTTTTACTTTTTTCAGCAGCAGCCTCATTTAGTGCTTTGACTTTCAGTACCAAAAAGTCACGAAATAATTCCGGTTGTCCCAAATATATAAGAAAAAATAAATCGCCAGCAAATAGACCGAAAATGCCAGCTAGAAAAACCACTGTATGCACCGCCATTGTAGCCAAATAGCCAAATTGCGTTCCAACATCCAAGCCGGGTATGAAAAAGTGCATTACGTAGACTTGCTTCTCAGTTACAATGACCAGAATGGCAGTTAAAAGTAGTATGCCCACTGCTGTAGCAGCATAAATGTTTCCAACCATTTTTATGACCTGCCATACACGTTCACAACACTCCTGCAAGGCCTTGCAATAGGCCTCGCCCTTCGTTTCGTGTTCCCGATAAAATGCCTCTAATTCCAAGCGCATTCCGCTGACCTGTTTGGTGAATACGATGCCCGAAATAAGTTTGGTGATGCCCTGCAAAACGCTGCCCACCATGCAGGATGCCTCCAGCAGGTATGTCCAGTTCTCCGAAAATACATTGGCCACAGTTGTGGCAGTGAATATGAAATAAATGCTAATACATATTATCACTATGATCGTAATAATATTGACCCTATAATTCTCAGAAGCCACATCAGCACCGACCAATCCGGAAACGAAGCGCGCCATTTTTATGATTTTTGCAAACGATTGAGATGGTTGAGGTTTTTTAACAACCATGTTTTACTAGTTTTTTTTTTTTTGTAATGTTAACGAATATATGTATGTATGTCTGACTCGCAATTCTTTCTATTTAGGTTGTGATTCAAAAGCGATATCCAACATTGTATTTATACCCACGAACTTGAGTTTGCTCGTCAAAACAAGCAATCAAGTATTAATTGTTCCTTTGACAGCGTGGGATTATTTTACACTTTTGCCGAGGTGTGTTGCGATGACTCTTGTAGGTAGATATCCATAAATAAACACTTAAAAAATATTGAATATTATTGCTAGGCTTGTTCTTTTCCCGCTTTCAACTTCGATAGGTGAGAGCATGATGAAATTATACCAGGTGAGGAAATAAGAGTGAGAAAGAAGATTTTTTGTCTTGATTTGATTCTTCATTGAAAATTTGCCTTCAAAATGTCGTATAAAAGTGAAAGTACATACTAGAGATGGGCGCGGGACAGCGGGACCCGCGGGACCCACGGTACTGATTTAAAATTGGCCGGGATGGGCGGTATCGGGAAGATCTGTAAAAATATGGCGGGCGGGACGGGACTAAAATCCTTTCCCGACACTCCCGATAAAACCGCAACCCCCGCAAATTCACAAAATCTTCCTTAAAAACGATGTTTGAAATATGCCCTTTTAATGTTTTATTGAGGCGAAAAAGAAAAAAAAATTATAGGAAGATGCCAGATCTTTCATTATTATTTAAAATTAATATGAAAGACATGACCATTTTTGTGAACCTTCGATCGGTTTGTAAACCTCACCACACATGTTGAAATCTCAACCGCTCGTTTCAATTTGTTGTCCGTGTGTAGCCTGCTTTAGAGATAGATATCGGGACCCACGGGACCCGCAGTACAATTCTGAAAAATGTTGGGATGGGCGGGTTCGGCACTTAAAAATCGAATTTCGGGATGGGCGGGGTCGGGATTAAATATTTAGTCCCGTACCCATCTCAACTTCGCAGTGTCGTGGGTGCATCCTTTGAGCAGCAGGCTCGCTCTTCGGTGCTTCGAGTGGCGGATCGACAGCTAGGGTAAGCTCAGTGGTGGCTTTATTATTACCCCTGTTGAGCACTCTCTAGCTCCCGATCCCGATCCCCACGTTCTGAACTTCCTCATGACCAAGAATACTGTCCTCGTAAATATTTGATGGCTCCGCAAAGTAGCCACAATATACCCTGGGGATGAGTAAATCAGTGCCATTGGTTACCACAATCTCCGCGGACTTCCAGGGTTTTAAAATTGGCGCAACCTTACCTAGGCACTACAGCGTTTCCGCGTTTCACTAAGCGGCTCCTTTTGTTTTTGCTGTTAGTCAACAACACCAGTTCAAGATTTTCTTTTGAGCATCGTTTTACTGACTGGAGTACCAGTCTCCTCTGGCTGTGGCGATAGAAGTGCTTCTGTTCATCTGTAGGGATCTGGATGTAAATAATTGCCATTTGAACCGGCGTGCAGGTTGGCCATATTGACATCTATGGTCGCCCGGTTGCTGAGAAGGCCATTAGGACCGAACTCCATATCGTATATTACAAAATCTTCCCAGTTTAATTGAGCGCTTTGGTCGTTTTGGTTCGCAACCAATTCGTCCGCTGCGATGGTCATTTGTTCAACAATCATGTTAGGCATCAAGTGCATCTCTGAGACTGCTGACTGTTGCGCACTCTTAGAAGGTACAGAGATTTGAACATTTTCTTTTTCTTAATATATAGGGTCTTATTTCATAGAATCCCACGAGTAAGGTGCCTGTGACTCAAGTACACTGTTGACAGACATACTAACGTAGTACCAGTCAGTCCGTACCAGTGACCCCTGGACTTATGGATTTTATCGTTTTATGGTTTTTCTCTCTATATCCGTCATATTCAGTCAAAAGCACGGCCACCTCTCGCAGAATGTGACTCTTCGCCATTCTAAATAATACAGTTAAATATTAGACGCAGACATCACCTGCTGCCAAATGAAATTGGCACTCAGTGACGAAGTCCTTATGAAAATAATTTGAAAAAACAGCAGTGTGCGTTTGAAGAAATAAGATTTCATCTGCTGTAAACACTGCCAGACATTGCGGAAACTCCTAAATCTTTAATACTATGTGTATCACTACCATTTTATCACTGTGATCAGCACAGCTGATGCTGCTGCTGCTGATACATCTCGAATTACAAAATCAATCCGTTTTTATTTCAAACAAGATTTTACTACCCGCCACAACCGTACACAGAGTGCATATCCTCTTTGTTCTACATACATACTTAAATGTGCTTATTGGTTTCTCCTTTTACAGTAGAACGTGCCAATATTCTTCTACTTTGCGCACGCTATCCTTACGTTGATCGACTTCAACTAAGGATTGCGTCATACGTCATGCCTTAGAGTCTAGCTACGCATTTATGACGGCTCGGGCTGATAGTCATTTGAGTAGTTGAAAAAAAAACCACAGCTGGAATGTTGAATTCGTACTCATATCTATGTAAAGTCTACACCAGAGATATGCATTTACCTATTACCCAATTACTTATTCATGCACATACATGCACGTGCATATGTATGTATAAATATCTGGGTTTCGCGAAAAGCTGCAAATGTTGTCAAATCAGAAAAACAAACTCTAATAGAATATGTGAGCAGTGTTGGAGGGCGTGACAGTTGGCAAGATGTTTAAAATTATAGATGTATTGCTAAGCAGGGAAGGCGTGCATAAAGGTGCCGGGGATTGATGGTGGGCGTTATGCGAGTGCGAGCAGCTGAAAAGTCGCCTATGTATGTAGATTTAAAAATGGAAAATTAAAGATGCTACTATTTGCGCATTCAATTCCCATTCACACAGAATCCTTATTTTTAATTTGGCAAAAAAAACTCCTCGAGTACTTAAACGGCCTCAAGCTCCATACAACTGGTTAATTGTATTATATTTTAAGGAATCTTTCGTGATTTTCCAGGATTTTCGTTAGTTGAGGTCGCGAGTATAAAAAAAAACTCCTCGAGTACTTGAACGGCCTCAAGCTCCATAAAATGGTTAATTGTATTATATTTTAAGGAATCTTTCGTGATTTTCCAGGAATTTCGGTGATCCCGGAACTTATTGGATTTTTTTTTATTTTAATGAAAATTGTATTCGGTAAAACCATGTTAAAAATACTATAAGATTGTGAAGCGATTTTGGCCGAGTTCAAAAAAGCACTCCAATTCGCTTATCTTCTGTGCCAACTGATGCCAATTGGCAATGTCAAATTTGAAAAAATTTAGAAAAAATGCCAGCGGGAATAATGACAAGATGACCGAAAAGGTTTCGGGTCCAGAAATTTTAGGATCAGGGGAGGTGCTTAAGACAATAAGCAGCATCAAACGTCGTATTTTGCGTAAGTAGGTAGGTTCTAATAGAACAAGCTAACATAAACACAATGAATTCTACTGTCTCGGGTTTTGTATTTTTATTTTTCGAAGCATATTTGCATACTATTTCGTTCCAAACGGTGTATTGAGCTAACAATAATTTTTATTTTTAGGCTACACGCCCATTCACTCGGAGACATAGTGGTCCATCATGAGTGTCCTCTGCGAATGAGTGCTAGGAGGAGGCACGCTTACATAACTGAAATTCCTTTTATAAAAAGAAAAAACTAATAATCAAGGCATCAATCTCCTGAACCATTTTCAAACACAAATAAAACTAACAAGGTCTAAAATATCTTTTCCAGGTTGTCGAAGAAGTCTGATCCCTGGCGTTTGAGGCGCTTCAATGGCAGCTTTGGCAGATAGAACTAGATCGTTCGTTTGAGGTCTTCCGTTTTATTTGCTTTAAACCGTGGAATTTCGGCCTTGAGAGCAGAAATCATCTCGCTTGGTCACTAAAGGTTGGCTGTATACAGTTATCTGCCTAGCCTTTTGGTATCTCAGAATAATTTCAGACTACTTCATCAGCTGTTTCCTTTCCTTCGATATTGCTTTGTCCGGAAACCCAGCAAAGATGGACCGTGAAATAGCCCATTGATGACAACGCTGCACGTCATCAGATTGGATCTCATTGCTTTCAAATCTGCTTGGCTTTCGACGAAGCCAGCGACTTTTCCGATTAAAACCATACTGAGTGATATGCAGGACTTCCGAACAGAGGCTGGCGCCGTTTCCCAGTTCCATCTTTGAACTATCAGTGAAGATTAAATTTGGATTCTATTAAGCCGGCCTCTTTTTATTCCAACCAGCATCGCCGCGTGTTCGAAGTTGGTTGATTTCCACATAATGGCTTCTGAGGGCTAGACCATCAACGAAAATGGGCATCGCTGGCAAGTAAAAGATCAATGTGAAACTCATCGTGAGATTAGGTGAATGCATCCAGTAGCTAAGTTGGCTTACACATCATTTTTGGAAGCACAACACGCAAATTGTTCACAGAAAGCGTTAACTCGGTAAAAACAAACGGGGGAAGATTCAATCGCCCTCACTGGTGTCTCGCGTGAGCTGGCTTTGTCTTTTTCTTGTTAGTTTAGTAACAAAACAATTTTGGGTCCAAGTATATTTTGCTATTCTGAGAATGATGTTGTTGTAATTTTTATTGACGTTGTCGTCGTTTGGCTTAGTGAGTTAAATATGTTGAGCCGCCCTGCTCTGGACTCTTTTTAACTCGCTCCATCACAATTATTTCTAAATTCAGTGTGGAGTCCAGAAAAATACCTGCATACATACTCGAATGCATTTCACTTTGGAGGAGAGATTAAAAGTAGTTCCCTTTAATATCGGCAGAGAAAATCCCAAAAATTTTATATTTCTAGGAACAAGGCCAGTTTTGTTTTATAGGGATTAACCCTTAAGCCATCCCATTCAAGGCTACCTGAACCATGTAAACAGGTGGGCAGCTAACTGCGGGCTCGCAGTAAATCCCAGCAAGACGCAACTGGACTTGTTTACCGGGAAGTACAAGATACCCGTTGTGGCTCTAACAGGGGTGTCTGTCTGCAGCTCTCAGACAGAGTCAAGTACCTGGGCGGCCATCAGTGCCCT